AACCATAGCCTCTCGTGTGTTGGTTTCTAAGGGAACTTTCTACAGAACTTCTTCATCTTTTCACCATATTTTAAAAACTTCAGCTCTTCCAGCTGAGCTGAGAAAGCTCCATTTTGTTGTCTGTGAGGTTAGTGGGTGGTTGGGTCTGACATTCAGTACTGAAAGGCTCAGATCCAAACTAGTGTGTTCAATAGCTTGTCAACTAAATATAATGAAGAAGCAAAAGACTCATAAAAAGAGTACTTGTAACTTGAGTTATTAAAGCATACAAATTTCAATAATTTCTTTCCCAGTATAAACAGTAAAAAATTGCAAATCGCCAAAAAATGGCAAATACGAAAGGAAGAGTTTGGCTCTAAGTATGCTGAGAAAATGACTGAGAATAAAGAAAACACACAGGATGAAGCTGAAAAGAAAATTTCTTCAGACCTTTTTAAGTAAAATGTGCTGTGGCACTTAATGAGTTGGTGAGATTTCTGCCTTCGCCAAGGGGCCAAAGGATTTCTGTGTCTATCATTAAGCATCTTCAGACGGGAAGAAGAGGACCCTCAGGAAACTGCAAGTTGAGTCCCACCCCTGCCTTTGCTACAGCCCACATCCTACTGTCAAGCTCAGTGGTCCCAGGTCACAGCCTGCTGGTGTTTGCAGCCCTGCCCTGCCAAAGCTTCATCATCCCTCCAGTTATTGAAGACACTAGCAAGGCCTCTCCCCTGGTAGCACAGATATCTCATCGTGCAGTGGCTCTCTGCCTGCTCTACAGCAGTTTCATCAAAGTCTTCAATTTGTTCATGTTCATGTCATTTCAGTGGCTTTTTTTTTTCTTGGAAAACTGCAGTTCTGACATTTGTATTTATAACTAATAACCCACAGTTACCTCAAAGGGCTCTCGGCTGAAGTCACTCCAAGCATGATTTTCCTCAGTGAAATGTGGTTGCTGTCTGCAGTGATGGCAAAAGTTGTGCTTGTGTTTTGCTCCTCCAGGCCCATTCCCTCAGCTTTACGAGTCAAAACAAGGCTTGTCTGGCCTGTCAGGATTGCAAACTCAGGCTGACATCTGAAAACTGTGCTGTGTTCTCCCAGCATCATCATCCACCCCCAGTCGTGGAATTTGTACTTCACTCTTAGCTGTGTTGATGCTGGAGGCAAAATTATCCACCGTCATGACAGTGACACCCGTTGTTGTTAAAGGAAATG